GGGGGGGTTGCAGTTCACCTGCGCAGCCACAGCCCAGCAACAACGCCAGGAGCAGGGCTAATAAACGCAGGTATTTAGGGCGCTGTTCCCGCAAGGGGCCAGTCTTAACCATGCCCCACTGCCTGTGACTGGACGAGGGAACACAGGATCTGGGGCTTTCTCCCTGGGGGCACCATGGCCTCCTGCACTGGAAAATGAGGGAGCAGAACTTCCAAGACGATAGAAAGGGAGCTTACAAGCAGAGTAACGCAAGCACCGACCTGTCGCTCTTCTCGGAAGACACTCCGTTCTGGGAGTGGGTGGTGCAGGCCCAGCGCTTCCCGGTTTTTTTCCCGGACATCCAAACGTTGACCTAGAAGCAGGCTTGACCAGGCAGGGTGCCCCGGGCAGCTCGAAATCCAGGCTTGCCATAAAGCGGGGGGGCTTGAGGAGGGATCCAACTCACCTTCCCAAAACGGGCGGCGGGGGTGGCGGCAGGGGCGATCCTGCCGGCGCGGAAGGCTTGGCGCCTCCTCCGCTTCCCGCCTTCTTCCTCCCCTCCGCAGGTGCGAGATCTGCGGGTTCCAGTGCAGGCAGCGGGCGTCTCTCAAGTACCACATGACCAAACACAAAGCAGAGACGGAGCTGGAGTTCGCCTGCGACCAGTGCGGGAAGCGCTTTGAGAAGGCCCACAACCTCAACGTCCACATGTCCATGGTGCACCCCCTGACCCAGACTCAGGAGAAGGCGAGGGCGCCCGAGCCGGAGGCCCCGCCGGATGCTGTGGGGACTGCCGAAAGCCAGCCCGTGAAAGCGGAACTGAGCGCCCAACAGGAGCCCACCTGAAGGAGCGGCTGGAGGAAAGCGCCCTGGCCCGGCCTTGCGGAAGCCACGCTCGAGGGGGAGTTTTAAGTGTATTTTTATGGGTTCTCCAAATAGGGGCTCGGGGAAATCTCTCCCGCTTGCTCGAGGAAGGCTTCCCGTTGCTGTGACGATCCTCTCCTGGCGCTCGTGTCCAGCAGCGCCTCGCAGAGCAACGCTGCCCTGCCGAAGGGGAGAGGCTGCGCTGCCTCCCCTGACCAGCGTGGCCAGGAAGGTGGCACACCTGTTCTAAAGGTGGGCAAGTCCGTCGTCACAGGCAGGTGCTGCAGGGCGCTTGTCAAGGTCATGGAAACCCGACTGAAACCCAGACAATTTGTTTTAAATTAAATCCCAAAGCCAATCTAAAAACAAAACCAGAACATTTGTAACCTAATTTTTATTGTTACAAAGTCATGGTTATGCTTGTAATAAATTATTTACACAGTACCATGGACAGAGCAGGCCGGGAGGGACGCTCGCTTCTGTCTGTGCGCACCGACGCTCGTGTGCCACGTGCAAGGAATCGGCCGGTGCGCCGGCCGGACTGTGGCGCTCAGAAGAGCAGCGGTTCTTCGTCGGAGAGGTCTCTGCCTGCGCCCCAGTTCACCAGTGTGGCCTCCATCTCTGGGTCCAGCACTCCGCAGCGGCCCAGGGCCTGCGAAGGGAAGCGGGACCAGCTGCCACACCTCCGGAGCAAGCGCCTCGGCGGCCGCTCTGCCCCACTCACCTGCAACGCTCCCCCGGAAGGGCTGCCTGCCCTGTGTTTTGGGCAGGGCGTGTCGTTGCCACGAGCACACGCCCCTCCGTGTCCGGCAAAGCACCTGGGCCGGTGGTGGACCGTGGCTCCCGGCACGGGCCAGGGAAGGCCGGTCTAACCCAGAGCGCTTCTCGGCAGCCTGGCAGCGCAGCGCAGGCGCCACGTCTCGCCCTCCCTGGGCCGTGGCTCTCCGGGCGAGGCCGTTCCCCGCATCCCGCCCCGCATCCCTGCAGTTCCCAGCTGGCCAGCAGAGCCTCGCCCACCTGCTGGAAGCTGGAGGGGGCCCCACGAGGGCACCGGGCGATGGCGCAGAGCAGGAACTGCCGCGCTCTCCCCATCAGCGCTAGCGAGTCCTCCTGAGGACAGACAGAGCCAGTCAAGCGACCCCGCAGCTCCTTCCCGCTCAGCTCACAGGCTGCAGGACGAAAAGGGGTTTTGCCGGGCAAGTACTTCAGCCAGCTCTCCCCACCCTGATGCCCTTCAGGTGAGCGGGACTACGATTCCCTCTGTTAGAGTAGCCGACAGCAGCGGGACGGGCATCTGGCTGGGGAGGCGCACCTCCGACCGGAAGCGGCACATCCCAGCCAAGCGAAGGGCCAGCCGTCCTCCAGCCTCCCTTCTTTCTAATGTTGAGCCTAAATCTGCCCCTGCTTCAAGCCTGTGCGTCGGGTCTGTTTATCTATTTATGGGATTCTTAGCCCGCCCCATTCGCCACGCAGCTCCCTGGGCGGGTGAAGGAGGTGAACGACGGGGCCCCTGCCCCGCCTGCTAAATATTCAAACCCCTTGGAAGCCTTGGAAAAAGGCCTCCGCGGTCTCTTTGTCTGAAAGACAAGACGTGCTCGGCTCGAAGCCGGCAGGCGCAGCCTTCGCCGCAGGGGCCCTTCCGCCAGGGCACGGCCACGGTCCCCCTGCCACCGTGCGCGCACGCACTTGCCCACAGCGGGGCCACGGCATGGGCTGCGGGCATCCCGATCGCCAGCGCTGCGGGCAGCCAGGGCGGGGAGGAGCCGGTGGGGGTGCCAGTGGGAGAGGGCAGGGCCGACCCGACCCCGAGGGCTCACGGGCGCACTGGCAGGCAGCCTTCCTTCCGCCGTGTCCCCGTCCACGAAGAGCTGCAGCAACTGCGCATACATGTCCACGGCAACAGCCAGAAACGCCGGTTCCCTGGGAAGCCGTTCGGCCTCCACGGTGAGCAGGACGCTGGAGGAGAAACGACCAGTTAGCCGGCCAGGCGGGAAGGAGGCGGCCGCGCGGTGTCGCTGCAGGGGGCCAAGCTGCCCCCAGCGGTTTTTGCAAACCAGGTGCTGGTTTCTTAGCAATGTTATTTTAAAGTAATGATATCCTTAACATCTTAAAATACACTCGGCCAGTATACAAATCATAAAGATGCTAAACCATCAACATGCAAAACGTAAAGCTTTTTTTTTAAATGGCAGAATCCCAAAATGCTTCATCCCAGGAGGAAAGCGGTTTCCTCCCAACCTGGGACACTGCCGGGCTTGTGGTTTCTGAGCAGCGGCTGCTTCGGAGCAAGAGGCAGCCCTGGAGTCCCACCTCCCCGGATCCCCCCAAGCAGCAGCTCGGTCACAGGCCAGCACAGCTCTTGCATTCACCTGTAGAAGGCCCAGGGCAGCAGCCGCAGGTGTTGCTCGGACACAGCACTGCGCAGGATCCGGTGAGGGCTCTGGCCCGCAATATCAGAAGACGCAGGGCGTGTGTGACACTGTGGGGGATTCACACCCCGAAGTGGAGCAGACGGAGCCACGTCGGCACCTTCCTCTGCGGAGCTGAAGAGCGCCAGCCAGGACACGCCTCGATCGCCCAGGTGCCGAAGCACCTCCGAGCTCCAGGCCAAGCTCTTGCGGGCATCCAGTCCTTCCTGCAAACGACAAAGGCGAGGCAGAGGGCACCTCTCTGGCTGGATTTCTGCCATCGCAGAAGTGGTGGGGAACGGCCTTCGGGGAGCCTTTCGGGAAACGGCCACGCCACAGCCTGGCGTCGCTCCTCTGCAACGATCGGGCTGGTACTGGCGACCCCCGTCCCAGGAGTCCTCTGAGGATGAGCATTAAACATGCCAGCGGGCTTTTAACACAACTTCAGTATAATATAAACCAAATGAAGGTTGCTTCTGCAAACAACCAGCGAAGGACAGGTCGGAAGAGCTCCCCCTACTTCTCTGCTGCAGGCAGGTGGCTTGGAACAGGTGGCCTTACCTGGGGGGCTACCCTGGTTGAGACCAGATCCACGACCGAGAAGAAGAAGAGGAACCCCAGGAGCTGCCAGGTGAGAGAACGAACGCGTGATCTCAGCGGCTGGCAGGGCCCCCGATGCCAGCGCCTCCCTCCAGGCCCCCAACACCCCACGGTGGCCTCTGGTGCAGACTCTCCCCGGCCCTGCCAGGGCGTCGGGGAGGAGAAGGGCAGGCGCCGTCCCTTACTTGTTCTGCTCCAGCCCCCAGCCTCTTCAGCAGGCCTTCCGGTCTTTCTTGCCCCGCTTGCTGCTGGATGGTGAAGTGCAGGAAGGCGGCGGAAATCCACGGTATGTCGGAGCGCGGGAACGATGCTTCTGATGAGAGGAAGCTAGGAGGAGGCGCCAAAACAGGGAGGAGGGAGGAACGGGAGCACCGTGAAGGCCGGCTGTTCACGGAGGACAGGCGCCTGAATCAGGTGCGCCACCTGCCTCGCAAGGGAGGAGGCAGAGGCACGGCATCTGGGCCTGCAGCTGGCCTGGCCACGTTGGCCCTCGTGAGCAGTGATGGATGGGCAGCGGACTGCAGCCCGCCCCGCCCCAGGGCTATTTCTCCGGCACGCGGTCCCCGGGACTCACCCGCTAACCGAGGACTGCAGTTCCTGGAGGGTGCGCAGTCCCTGCGCCGGGGCAGCGCCGAAGAGTCTCCTCCACTCCGAGCGGAGCACCGGCTCCAGCCGCCTCCACCACCGCTGCACCGAGCCGGGAAGCGGAAGTCAGCCACACGCCGGCCCGGCCCGGCCCCCGCTCGCGTCGGACGGAGGGCTTCTCTCCGAGGAACCGGGCACGGCCCCCCCTCCGCCCACGCGGCTGCGCCTGCCCTTTTGGGCGTGTTGCAATAATATACAGATTAAACCAGCCCGCTGGCCTTCAGAGGCATTTGGCCCGCAACTCCCAGAATCCCCATCCGTCAGGACCACTGACTGGGAATCCTGGGAGCTGCAGTCCAAAGGTGTCTGGCAGGCACAAGGCTGGGGGAGGCTGGAGTAAAGCATTTGTCGCGTGTTAAGAGACAAAGCAAGATCGAAACCGCTTGAGCAACGGCGGCGTGAAGCGCGCCAAGCCCTTCGCCGGGCTGCAGCCAGCCACGTTGTTAGACGTTACCGAGGCAGCTGCACCAGCAACCGAGAGGAAGCAACACAGTTGGCTCACCATCGTTATTACCACGATGAGCTGTGCTCGGGTCGCAAACTTGATCACGGGCAGTTGTGGCTGGAGAAGAAGGCCCCCCCCCGCCCCCACACCCCGCGGCCTCCAAAGGAAGGTGGCTTTCTGGTCACCATGCGATAGAGGAAGACCGCTTGCGGCCGAGGGATCTCGGAATACCTCTAAAGGAGCGAGTAAACCATCTAGCCGAGGTCAGAGGCCTCTTACCGCTGCAGAACAAAGGATGACGGGGCTTCTGGCCTGGCACAGCGCGAGCACGGCGGTCACCTCCCGTGCGGGGTCCTCGCACTCCAAGCTGGCACCCAGCAAGCCCTGGAGGACAGCAGAGGCGTCTGGGTGCCCGCACAGGGCAACGCACCCGCGTGGTGCGGGCCGCAGCCCGGCCTGGGGCCGCGGAGAAGCCCCGCTTCGAAGCTGCACGCAGCGGCAACTGGCCCTCACCCGCCAGGACCGCCCGGCCGCCCCGAATCCGGCCCTCTGGAGGCCTGCAGGGGTCGTGCCTCCCCCCCCGCAGCCAGTCGCTCATTTTTTCTGCAGGCGGTTTTCCCACTTCCGGCAGTTTTTCCCCATTCTAAGAGGCAGGAATGGGCCTCCGGCGGCCGAGTGGCGATGCCTGAACTGTGGAATGTGTGCCCTGCCAAACACACAGACTGGGGGGGGGGGGGCGGTCAAGCTGCTTCCCCGGAAATGGGCTGCGTGGCAGGGGAAAGCAGCAGCGAGATCGTCGCAGGTACCCTGAAGAAGTGAGCAGTGATGTCGTAAGAGAGGGCGTAGCCTCTGGAGGAGACGTTCTTCTGCAACAGGCCAGAGAGAGACACTTCGTGAGCGGCTGGCGGGGAGGAGAGGGCCCCGGGGGATGCGCTCCAGGCCAGCCGGGCCCCCCCGAGATGGCAGCTTCCCATCGGGGGCCCGGCAGCACCGGGAGGCGTTTCCTGCCCGAGGGAGGAGGAGGCCGCCCCTCCCCACGCACAAGAGCACGGCTGGAAAGGGGGCCCAACCGGAAGCCCCGCAACGGCTTTCTGAGTGGCACTGCGGCCGACGGAGGCCGCTGATGCTCAGCACACCTGCGGGATACACACCAGTTCCGTGTTTACGAACGAGAAGAAGTCTTCGCAGTCCAAAGAGGTGCTCCTTCCCCGGTGCCGGGCCGCAACGAGAACGGCTGGAGGGAGACTCAGGAGGGCCCTGAGCAGGGAGCAGCTCCCGTCAGGACGCCGCCGCCCCACTTCTGGCTTTTTGCTGCAGACTTCAACTTGGGAGGCAGAACCTCGGGTCCAGAGCCCCCCCCCCCGCACCCCCCCAGGATTCCCCAGACGGCCACAGCCCCTTTCTCCCAGCACCCTCTTTTACCCAGACACAAACTGCCCGGTAGTTTTCCACACGCGCTCTTTGCTAGAAGGCTGAGAGGCGCATCCAAGGGTTGAGGCCTGGCAGGGAAAGCTCCGAGTTCGAAATGCGGCTTTTTCGGATATGTTGGCCCATCCTGTTGCCTTCAGGTCCGTGCACCACTGGGCTTCTCCATAAGGGAATTCAGCCCCCGGCTGAGCAAGACCCGCACCCGCCTTAATGGGTGCCCAAGCCAGACGTGCGCACTGCCGGCAGGCGGGCCGAGACCGGACCACGCAAGAGAAGCCCGGGAGGAAGTGGTGCGGCCAGGCCTTGGCCCGCCAGCCTCCACCGCTGCCGCACCCCGTGAGCTCGCCGGCCGTGCAGACTCACTGGCGCTGAAGCAGCAGCTCCTGCTGCCAGGGGAGCCGCTCGCCCACGGCAGACCCCGTCCCCAGAGCATTCAGCCTCTCCCGGAAGACACAGAACGGGAAGTGCCCCCTGCTCTCACAGGAGTCGAGGGGGGCTCTCCGGCGCTCCAGTTCCAGCAGCATCTCCTGCAACCAAGAGGGCAGCCCGTCCAGGCGCTGGGAAAGCGAGAGCCCTGCCACCCGCTGCCCCAGCCCCGTGCCGAGATTGTCGGTGGCAGCAACACGCGCCCCACGACGCTGCACGAACGAGCCGCTTCTCGTTCGACACCGAGCGAGTGGAAGGAATCGGAGGAGGAAGGAACAAGCGGACACAGACACGCTACCTGCAACCTGCAGTGTATTTCAGGGTTTCCTCTCCCACGGGGCACGGAACACCTGGAGTCTTTCGGGTGGATGCACTTGTCCAGTTCGGACCTAAAATTAAAGACCACAGAGGAGGGGATGAATCTCTGACTAGAGAAGTGGGCTGCCCCTGCCGGGGGACCGGGGCAGTGCAGAGCTGTTGAAAACTCTCCAGAGTATTCCAGTGTGAACGCTACATCTGCAACGGTGTGAACACAGACTGGGTTCCATCCCACCCAGAGTCTGTCTACCCCAAGCAGTTAATCTACGTGCGGTTTCGTTTCACGGAACTGGGGCCCCACCAAGAGCAGGCCCCGCCCTGCGCTCCTGCTGGATCACCTCGGGGTGGCACATTGGTTTGCGGGTGCTGCACACGTGAGAAAGGCGCTGTCTTTCACAGGCACGAGTGACACGTGTCCCGATCTAAAAATCCCTGCTGACGGCGCGCTTTTGACAGAGAAGTGAAACGGGAAGGTCACACAGTCGGTCAAAGGACCCACACAAGGCAAATGCATAATAAAGCCCTTATGTGGAAAATCCTTCAGACCTATTTTGAGAGGTTTGCTTGATTTCACTGGGTGTCACTGTTAACCGTCTCTTGGGATGGCTGGGAAACGGGGCTGTGCGGATCGAGATGGGAGGAGGCAGCCATCCCCAAATGCTTGGGCAGGCCCTGGGAACGGACAACTCCATGCCCAGTCCCATCCCTGGCCCCCCCAGGCTGGGGGGCTGCCCCATTAGAGGGCCTGCGTTGATCTAGGCGGCTGTCCCTTCTCCACAGGGGGAGGGTCTTCAGAAGCAGTTTCTAGTTTGGATTCAGTAAATCACTTTGTGCATGCACAGGGACTCATCTCGTGGCTCCAGTTTGTTAGGTGGACTGGAAATAAAGAGCTATATTCCAGAAGGATTGTCTGCTGCTTGAATCGGGTAAGGGGAAACCCGGCTCCCGAGACGGTGACGTCCTATGAGCTGCAATGGGTGTTCTCTGAGCGAGGCTACGAGGCAATGAACGAGAAGCTGTACGCCGCATGCCGTCCAGGGAGCTCCTGGGCTTATAAATGTAACGATAGATAAGTGAACAAGCCAAGCCTTTAAAAAGAGGCCTCTTGGAGCAAGGAGTTCATCAAGAAGAGGGATCTCGACTCCGGGCACATGCAAGCTCCCCCCAGGTCTAGCACCACACGGGTTTGTCCAGCTGTTTAGCCACAGGTGGAAGAGACGAGCCGGACGCTTTGCAGGCTATCTGGTGCTCACTTGGAAACACCTACAGAAGCCAGGCAGCCCTTGCGGCCACACAGGGAAAGCCCCGCGAAGCTGCTCACCTCTGCCAGAAATCCAGGATGGTGCCAAGGAGCACAGCACACATCTCGCTCAGGTCTCCGTCGCAGCCTCTGGCGGCGGCAGGCGCTGGCAGGAAGTGCTGATGCAGAGCCCAGTGCTGGAACTCGTACCTGGCGGGGGAAGGCTGCCTTTCCATCATTCAGTTGAGGGCCCAGAGAACGGCCCCCACGCGGCCATCCAGGCAGGGCGAGACGTGGGGCAGGCAGCTGCTTGCGAACCCACAGGCCGTCCAGGCCCGTAGCCGAAATGAAAGCCAGCCTGTGGCACGCCAGACGCCACAGTGCAGTTGCTAACAAGTCCCTGAAGAGAGACTGGAAGCTGCTCTCAAGGTGTTTGAGAATCTTAGTGGTATTCCAGGAGTCGAACGGCGGCGGGCTTGCTTACTTGCGCGCGGAAAGGCGCACGCTTACGAGGGAGCAGGTGCACCTCGCCTTGCTGGGGCACCTCGCAGTCCCCAGGCTCCGCCGCTCCGGGGGGGGTGGCAGGAGGTCCCGCGGCTGCTAGCTAGGGTCCCGCGGCCCCCACCTTTCACAAGCGGAGAGCACGTCCCCGTCAGGATGGACTCCGAGCTCCATCAGCAGCCACTCCTGCAGCGTCAGCTGGAAGAGAAGCAAAGAGTTGGCCCAGGAAAAGGACGGCTGCCAGAATCCGCGTCCTGCGTTGCCGTCGGGCCATCTGACGCAGGGGTCGAGGGACTGGTGACCTCGCAGGCCTGAAGCGGCGCAGGCCCTCCGCGTCCCACGGGGGACGCCCCGGCCAGGCTGCAACGCTGCGGAGCGGCACGGAGCGTCGCCATTCCGCAAGTGGAGGGGAGGCAGCGGGCGGCAGACTCCCCCCCGCCTCAGCGCTGCCCCTCGCAGAGGAGAACGCCCGGGCTCAGCACGGGGCCACGTGAGGGACCTCCCTCCACCTGCCCCGAACCTCCTGCCAGTCTGCTCCACAGCCCCTAACATTACGCGAGAGGGAGAAGGCGGACGGGGAGCCGCCTCCTCTCGCCGATTTGCGCCCCGCCTTTCTGCACCACGCAAGGAGGCCGCTGCAGCTAAGCGGCCTCTCAGCTGCCCGTTTCGGCTCCCTTCTCGGCTCCAAAGTATCCTCGTTCAGACGTGGTGACCAGGACGGGGCAGGGCAGCCCGAGGGCGGTCAAGCTGTGGGCGCAGGGCCTTTGCACGCCATTCCTTTTCTAGCAGTGCCCACCAAGGGCATTCGCCTCCGAGGGGCTGCCCTTTTCCGACAGAGAGTTTCCAGGGAGGCCGCGGGAGCAGCTGCCCTGCAGACGGTGCTGCTGCGGCTGAGAGAGGTCCGGCCGCATCGCACGCAAAAGCTCCTTCCAGCACAGCTCCAGAACTGCTGCTCCATCCTCCCCTCGGACCGTGCCACTCCGAGGGCTGCTGAAGCCCTGGCTCCCCGGATCCTGGCCCCCCTGCTGCTTGTGCCCCGTGGCAGTGCCACCAGAGAAGTCCCCAAGTGCCCCCAGGCGGGGCCTGGCAGGGGGAGGCCCCCGAGAGCTGCCGCATTTACCTGGAACGCGCTCTCCCACAAGAGCTCTCTGAAATGTGTCTGTTTCCACAAGCGGAGCGCTGCTTCCCGGGAGCAGGGGGTAGGCTGGCAGAACGTTTCCCAGGGAAGCTCCACCAGGCCGTCTCCAAATCCATGTCCTCGTGCTTCCAAGTGAAACCGCGGCACAAGATACTGGAGCTGCAGGACAGAAGACGCCATGCACAGCCGCACGGCTGCTTCCAGTGAGTCGGAGGACAGCTCTAAGCTCTTCCTCCCCGCCGGGGAAGCGAGTGGGCTGCTGGCCCACACAGGGGCAGCATCGGGTGGGGGCCCCGTCTGTGTGATCTGGAACAGACGGGGCAGGTCAGCGCAGCACACAAGGCCTGCGCAAAGGACAACAATCGTGCGCGCTGGACCGGAGCTCCATGCGCCCACCTGTGGCTCGCTTCAAAAACAGGGGGGTTACCTTTTTGACAAAGCCAGGATGAAGCAAGCGGCACCGTTCGTCATGGGAAAGGGAGGAAAACTTGCACAAGAAGTACGCTAGTGCTGCCGTACAAAACCTACGAAGAAAGGGGAACGTCTGGCCCCGCGTTTCTGTGGAGTTACTCCCGTCCCTTGGCGACTGCCAGCTTTTTACCTAACTCTTCTTCCAAGGGACTCGCCCACAACCAACCTCGCTGCACAGCAACTCTGTGAAGTAGGAAAATGGGGGCAGCGGCACAGGGGTCAAAGTCCCCCGGGGAGCTTCACGGCCAAAGCCGGAATCCAGACTCGGGTCTCCCCGCTTCTCGTCTGACACGAACCGCTACACCACAACAGCTCTCCTCTGGATGAAATCCCTACTATGTAATGAGCTTGAAAACGCGGTACAATGGCAAGCAGCACTGGAACAGATCAGACGGCCATAAACGTCTCGAACTCTGCAGAAAACCGATGCGAGCGAGCGCTCCACACACGGGCTTGTGATCCAATCCAAGCAGCGACTCCCAAGGAAAAGTTCACATGCAGAGCGCGGGGTGGAGCAGGACGCTTACCTCATGCAGAAGACGGCCGACTCTCCCGTCCTGCACACCAACAGATGATCCCAGAGCTCAGGGACGGACAGGCCCCTCACGGAGGCCGAGCACGGAGCCGAGGAAGCGCAGAGGTCCACCTCCGGGATCAGGGCTCTGGCTTCGTTCAGGTGGACGGCCAGGGTGGCCAGGCCCACGACCTGAGCTTCGTTCAGCGAGCGGCTCTGCAAACGGCCGGGCAGAAGGTCCCCGGGTCAAGGCGTGAAGGGCGCTGCGCTACAGCCGGCTGGGCTTGGGGGGTGAGGCCTGCCCCCTTGCCCCAGCGCCGCCCAGCCCTGGACGGGGCCCCCCGAAAACTTCTCCGAACTCGAACCGACCTCTGGGTGAAAAGAGGCTCGCCCCGCACTCCCCTCCGAGGCATCGGCGCGTCACGCCAGCGAACCCACCTGATGGCACAGAAGCTGGCAGAGCCGGCCCAGCAAAGAGGGCAGCAGCCGACGGAACCCGCAGATCGTCCTCACCAGGCGGGACGGCCAGGCCCCCTGCCTGCAGAGAACAGACGCCGCGGCCCCATCACTGCCCGGCTCAGCCGGGAGATCAGGGTGTGCGTCATCCGCACCGCACCACACACACACACACACACAGAGCCAGTGTCGCTTTACCTTTCGGGAGGGAGGAAGTAGGAAGCCGCGATTACATTCTGGCAGAACGAGGACAGCAGAAGATCAACAACCTGGAAGAGAAACACACCAGTGTCTCCCGGCGGCGACCACCCCCGAAGAACCGCACGCAGTGGGAGATCAGCAGCGCCCGGCTCCCCGTGCCCGGCTCTCGTGTTCAGGGCCGGTTCCCAAGCAGGAGCGCCAAAGCCCGGGCTGCTGCACCTACAGGCTGCCGCGTGCGACCAGGCCCAGGCTGCTCCCGGTTTCGTTCTCGGCCCCCGGCCAGCCTCACCGGCGGCCGCTCCACTGCGCACAAGCCCCGGCGCTTTGGGGTGTCGGTGGCCTGGCAACATCCAGAAGTTCCCGCCAGTTCCCGCCACGCGCTTCCTTTGGGGATCGTGATCTGGCTTGTGTAGCTGCAGCTCCTCTGTACGTACCTCCTGGTGCTGTCGCTCAACCTCGGGAGCAGAAAGGTCAAGCTTCATCCGTGGACCTGGGGACGCGGCCTCCTCGCCCTCCGCCGCGCTTCCGAGAACGCGGGAGAGCTTCTCGGAGATGACGGCGATCTGCGCGGGCACGCCTGCAGCGGGCGACAAGGGGCAGAAGCTCCAGCAGGAAAGGGCCGTGTGCCGGCCAGCAGGATGCGCCGCCAGCCCGGCGAGGCAGTCCGGCAAGCGTGCGGGAGACTGACGGGGGGGGGGCTGGACGCACCCCCTTTGCAGGGAAGCGAGGAGTCACGAGGCACTCTTGGGGCGGCCTCGCCAGGCTGGCCCGCACCTTCTGCTGACGAAGGCAGTGCTCTCCAGGGTCTCTGCCCCAGCTGCCGGGAGCTCCCGTTCACGGTGCTTGTGAAGGAAAGCCCTGCGCCACTCGGGAGCCGCGGCAGCACCCGAAGGGCAGCCTTCCCCCAGGACTGGCCAGCGCGGGGGGAGGTGCCGTGCTCGACGGCCTGGGGGACGCAGCCCGCGCCCCTCACCCAGCCAGCACCCCAGCTGCCGCGGCAGAAGCTTCGGCCACTGCTCCGGCGCCGAGCAGAGCGCATTTGCTCAGAGGGTCTGGGGGCACCGGCCAGCGTCTGTCCGTCCGCAGGCGCTGCAGCGACGGTTTCGTTGCGCTTGAGTGTCTGCCTGTCGCATGAGGGCCGCAAACAGATCCCGCTGTTTGTGGGCCGCGGGTTGCCCCGGGCTCTTTGTGAGAAGTGCCAGGACGGAGTATCGCCAACCCGCTCTTTGCCCCGCGCTCGCTGCCCGCGCCCCCCCCGCCTCCACGCACCGTCGTGCCTGCTCTCGTCCGCAGCCAGCACTCTCAGCCCCTCCAGCTCGGCCCTGAGCGACTCCAGGGGCCCCTCGCGATCGCCGACTCCCAGGCCGGTGGTTCCACCTACGGAGCAAGGAGGCTGCCTCAGGCCACGGCTCCCGCTACCTGCCCACAGGCCCCCTCCCTGTCACCTGCCCCCTGGCCCTTCTCGCTGGAAGCGCCACAGGTCGGACGCAGGGCTTCCGTCCCACTGGCCGCAGCCTCTGCCCCAAAGGGGAGGGAAACTCGTCTTGGCCGGTGCTCTTTAGTATTTTCCGCGCGAGGTCTTCCTCTCCCACGTACTCTAGAACAGCCTTCCCCAGCTTGGCACCGTGCAGAGGTGCTGCACTGCAACCTCCATCAACACCAGTGCTGGCTGAGGATGACGGGATGTGATGCTCCGCGGCTGATCGAGGCTGTGGTGAGGGGCTGGCATGGCACGTGGCACTGCCCACCCCTCTCTCTCGTGCTGGTTCAGGGGCTCAGGCCGGAGCATAATGCAGGCAGGCGGCCAAACTCCGCCGCAGGCAGGCACACGCGCCAGTGGAGGCTCAGGGCAGATTTGGCGGGGCCGTTCCTTTGCCCCGCGGCCCAGATACGGCGCCCCGTTGGAGAGACGCCGTCGTTCTGCAGTGGCGGCCACGCAATTCTACCACGCTCAGCCCTGCCGTGTTGAGGCCCCGCATGGCTCACCCGGCAGGAGCTTCTCCTTGAGAGCCCGGCATTCTTCAACGTATCTGGCGAACATGTTCGGAGGAATCTTTTCGGCCCTGGTTCAGAGGAGAGAAGCAGTTTAATCCCGTCGCCCCAAACCAGGCTCCCGATCGCCGCCGCCGCACCAGCCCCTTGCTCGGAAAGAGCCACCGTTTGTTCACTCAGATCAGAGGCGCACAAACGCGTCACGGAAACCTGGGAGGAGGGAAGGCTCCGACTTCCTTACCTCTTGAGGGACTCTATCAAAGTCATGCGGGAATCGGGTATTTCAGGAAGCTGCAATTTTTGCAGAAAAAATCTACTTAATATTCACTTTGAGGGTTTGACTGGGGAGAGAACTTTTTAAATAAAAGCCATGAATAAATTAGCAAACAAGGATTTAACAACTGCATTTGACACCTTAAAACAGTGGTAATGAGGAGGATACTGACCACACGTGGCATGAGCAACGCAGGAATAAAATGGGAAATGTAGTAGGAGCGTCTGAAAATACTGAAACACAAGAAGGCCGAGGTGCAACGGATCAATCACCGTGGGAACAAAGCCCCCCGACCCACATTTCTGGCAGGCCTTAAAACAGGCAATTAACAAATCTCACAGGATCTGCGGAATACCAACGGTGGGGACTTCAGGACCGTCACGGACCTTCGGTAAGTTCCACTCCAGGGTGGCTTCACAGCGAGGGAGATGCCAAAAGACGGCGACTTTTGACGCCGCCAGCCCCGCCTCTGTGGCCTTTCCCGCCCTCCAGGACCCCAGCCGCAAACGGCTCGCGAGTCACTGGCCGCTCTGCAGTAGCCCAAGCGGCTCCCACCGGCCGCCTGCTCCTTCCCCACGTTCCATGATCTGCCACGGAAATAGCATCCTTTGGGGAACCGCGGTGAGGACTCCATACCTAGCTTCCATCACGCTCACTGGGATCTTCCTGGTGGTCTCAAATATCTGGACGGCCTTTTCAGCATCTTGAAGGGCCTGAGACTGGGGCTGGTGCACGCCCAGAGCAGGCGGGAAGGCAAAAGAAAATGCGCTGAGAGCACCGAAAAGCAGCTTTGTCCCTGAACCAATTAGCTCAGAAGCACACAACGGTGGAGCAGGAAGGGGCCAGGAAGGCGCTGGGGTCCAACCGCCCGCCAAGTGCAGGACGCCAGGGTGCACCGTCCTTCTCAGACGGCTGTCCAGCGGCACGTTGAGGGTCCCAGCGTGGGAGAGCCCCCAGCCTCCCTAGCTAACTGGCCCCATTGCTGCCCTGTTCTAGCAATCAGGAAGTCCTTCCTGATGCTCAGCCCGACCCTGGCTTCCTGTAACTTCAGCCAGGTATTCCGTGTCCCATGGGATGGAGAAGAGATCCAGTCCTTCCTCTCTGTGACGGCCTTTCAGGTCATTATAGCGTACTGTCATATATCAAGGGCCACCGTCTCCCACACAGGACTGCAATAGGGCACGGGGTCTTGGGAATCCACGGAATATTAAAGCAAGTCCTAGAACAGAGGCGGATGCAGCCTCTGACCACCAGCTGCCCCCCTGAAATCACGGCTACCGAGAAGTCCTTCCCACACCGTCCCTTTGTTCGCCAGGCCTGGCGACCACCCTCCAGGGGCCGGTGTGCGGGGCCCTGGGTACCTGGACGGCCTCCTTGGTGGAAGACAAATCCTCATAGAGGCCCATGTCCTCGATGGAAACCTGGAAGGTATCAGCAGAAAGAGAAGCACAGCTGAGGCGGGGTAAGACGGGAGGGTGCGTTGATGGCGCATGTGTGGACTCAGCCCAGAAGGCGCTTCCAGGGGCCGATCCAAGGGAAAGGCGCCCCGTGCCTCCCTGCCTGCAGAAACGTCGCACCCGTCCCTGCACACCTGGAGCAGCAGACGCGGCTGGCAGCTGGGCGACTGAGCCCTGGAGGGGGGGGAACGGGGCTGAAGCCTCCACTGGCCAGGAGGCATCCGTGGCTGCAGCAGGACGGAGCCATGTGCATGGACGTCGCCCGCCCAATTTGGCATGCGCCGTGGTGGGGAGGCATGATTCAGGCGCCCCACCGGCCCCGGGGCCAAGCTTCTGCAGCTGCTGCTGTCTGGAGACCAGCTGCACCCACCCTGCCCCTTCCCCTGTGGGGGATGACTCTGACCTGTGGATGGAAATAAGAGGGGATCCTCTCCCTACACCGCGTGGCCTCTGGGCCGGGGTGGGATCCGCTGGGGAGGCCTGCAGAGGGAGCCCAAGCCTCCGCCGGCCAGATCTGGAATGCCCTCGGACCACAGCTGCGCCTTTTACCTTGAGATCGGCCAAGCGGGTTTTGGCCAGAGTGACGTATTCCAGCAGGAAGGGGCGGTACTTGCTGGGCACAAGCGGCGGGTGCAGGATGTGGACCTGGAGGGCGCGCGGGGAAAGCTTCAGTCAACGGCCGCAGCCCTTTCAGTTCCCAGCAGCCTGAGGTCCACGTGCACCATGGGCTCTCCAAGGCGCACAGCCACGGGCACAGCAAGCCGTGCCGGGAGAGTGCCTCAGCGAGAGCAGGGCCACCTTCCTGCTCCCTGCCCCAAGCGCCTCCATTCTCGGGGGTGGGCGGCAGAGACCGGCAGGCAGGCAGGCAGGCAGCAGAGGAACACCGGGGCTTCCTTCCATGAGGGAATTCACCTTCCCGGGACTTGCTGGTGGGAAGCTCCACCATATGGCATTATGTTATCCACTTAGTAATCCCACGTCTATACTGTCCACCAGCTAGTATTGTGGCTCACAAGCAAACAAAAAGTTGAACATACAAATATTTAAGGCACCATTAAAAACAATCAACAATAAAGCGACCAGGACCCGGCGAGACCCTCCGGACCGTGAGGCGAACCTCAGCGGCCTTAAGAGCAGCCGGCAGAAAGGCAGGGCAACGCAGGCGACGTCCCACCTTCAAGTACTGCGGGGCTTCGAAGGGCACCAGGTCGGACAGGAACTTGAAGAAGAACACCGAGGCTTTCTTGCTGCTGCTGTGCAAGCCGCCAGCACTCCCAAAAGCAGCCTGCAGCGAGACGGCGGGGGTGAAGCGCGGGACCCCCTCTGGCCCCAGAGCCCTCGCTGCCCTCCCCACCGCGGCAAAGCAGAGCGGCCGCCGACCAGCCGCTCCGGCGGGGCTGCCAAGCCTCTCGCAGCAGGAGCCTTTGGGGATGCAGGGCCGGAGGCGAAGGGCCCGCCTCTTTCAGCGTAACGCTCTGGCTGCCGGCAACCTCGAAGCACTTCAGCATTTGAGAATGCGGGACAGGAGGCCGGGGAAGGCAGTCCTGGGGGACAGACTGGGACGCCGTGGGCTGACTCGGCCCATGCGCTTGTGGTGCGGCCCCTCAAGTGTTTTGATAACGATGCTGGATTGCCCCACTTGCTCATGCAGCCCGGCTCCAATTCTGCCGCAGATCCACCCCCGCGAAGCCCGAGGGGCCCCGCAGCCCGTGCTCACGGCAAGCGCAGTCCCTCTGCTCGCCCCTTTAGCCGCGCGCGTCCCGGAAGTGGCTCTTACCTTAAACCATTCTGAGTAAGGCACGAAGACCGCTGGTCCCTCCAGGGCTGCCTGGCGAACTATTAAGAACGCCGTAATCATGCTTTCCAGATCGTAATTCTCAAAAGCCTTTGTCAACAGACGGCCCAGGAGGTCTGGAAGAGGCACAAGGCAACTAACTACCAGCTCATTACGGGTCTCAGGGGAAACGCAGAACTACAGTCCTACACTCAAAAAACCAGACTGCAGCCCAGTAACATTTGGCACATTCCTAAATTGGGCAGCTATTCTGATAGAGACATTGAGGAAGCAGATACGGGAGTCACACCAGAATGTACACCCAAAGAATGCCTTTGCACCAACCTGCAGGGTGGCCTAAAAAATCATTTAAGATAAAATAAACCAAATTAAGTCGCTACAGAACCTTTCATGCCAGTGGAAAGGGCGCGAGGCAGCTGAAAGCCGTGGAACCAATATCCAGGAACTATAAGGAAATGTGTATCGGGAAAATATAAGCCATGCTTCCAGAGTTTTACAGTTCCCATCTTCCACTCTTGCGCATCACCTTTCAAAGGGAAGGGGGGCGCCTCCCTCTGCAAAACGCGGCCCCCACAGCACTGTAGGCGCCTGTTGCGGGACGACCCCCAGCTGCAGGCGCAGCATAAGGCATGGCTGGGCAGAGGATGCCCTGCATTTATCTATTGATTTATATCCTGCCTTTTTCCTACAAAGGGCTCAAGGCAGCTTGCATCATTCTCCTCCTCCATCTTATCCCCACAACAACAACCCTGCGAGGTAGGCTGGGCTGAGAGTCGGTGACTGGCCCAAAGCCACCCAGGGGGCTCCATGGCTGAGCGGGGACTTGAACCCCAGCTCACTCGGCTGAGGCAGGCTGCCAATGGCAGGCATTTTCCACGCACTCTAAACATTTGCGGGGGCATTTGGCAACACCACCACGCAGCTGGGGCTCCTTGCAAAGAGAACGGTGGCCCGTCTGCGGCTGCCTCTGGAAGACTGAACCTGCAGGACTCGGGGGCGGGCAACGCCGGCTCTTGTCCTCCACGGATTCCGGCCTTTGCGCAGCAAGGAGCTTCCCGTGCCCACGGCCGGGCTGCCCTCTCCCGCCTCCATCCACACCTTTGACCAGTGGCTCTGCTTCGGCGTGGCAGATGAGCAGCGTGGACACGCAGGAAAGGACGTGGCGCCAATTCACTTCGCTCGTCTCCAGGACCTGCTGCAGCTGACGGATCAAGTCCTCTGCTCTGAACATCACGAACAGCTAGACGGGGACACCAGAGAGGGCGCTTGGGAGCTGTGGGGAAAGGAGCTGCACAGACCGCTCCTGGGCGTCCCCAGCGGGCCCAGGCGCAGTGGCAGCCCCGCTCGGTCTCCGGTCCCCAGCATCTCCCAGTGGGAGAGAAAAATGCCCGCCATATCCCAGCTGAGGCCAGTCAGGGGCCGAAGCCCTGAGTGAGACGGACCCGGGGCGAGTGGCTCCCAGCGCCGTGAAACGGAGGCCCCTTCTGCCCTGTCTGGAGGGGGTGGAGGGAGAAAGCCCTCAAAAGCCGCAAAGCTGGTCCATGCCCACTTTCATAGCCGGTGCTTGTCCCCGCAGCAAGGGGGATCTTCCCTCCCCTCCCCTCCCCTCCCCTCCCCTTAACGTACTTCCACAAGAGCACGAAACCTGCCTCTAATGAAAAGCCCCAGAGGAGCCTCCCCGCTTCCTTCCCAGGGTCCCCTTTGCACACCCACACGGTGCTGCGAGCCCCTTGGCACAATCGCCGAGCCGTGGCTTGGCTGCCCTGGCTCTGCTGCTGAACCGTCAGTACCAGAACAGCGTCAGTGCCAGCTTCGCTATGCTTGAAACGTGCTCTTTCTGAGCAGCCTAGATCGTGCGACAGGGACTGTGAGCTGAGAGCCAAAAGGTGCAACTCCATTCGCTAAGCAAATTTAAGGGGCAAAAGCTGTAAAGGAAAGAAAAGCGAAAGGAAGGCCTTTGCTGAAGCGTAGGGCTCACGCAGAACACTAACCCATGGCTTATTTAACCCATGGGTTGTTGAATTCTGGGTTGGCGTGATGTGAAGACTCAACTCTACCAACAAGCCAGCATTTGTTGATACACGAACAACCTCGAAAAAGAAACCATGGTTTGTTGTTGGGTTCTGAATTCTGGGTTGTGTTAACCGTCAGTTGCCATAAAGTGTGGGCCCAGAACCGTGGGTTTTATGGGTTGTTTTGCCAGCCTATAGAGGTGGTGGGCAAGGACATGCAGGACTCTAAATACCAGCGCTGCAGTGCCTTAAAGGCAGTTGGGACCCAGGGAGAGGGCGGGCAAAGGAGGAGTGAAGCAAGCCAGCCAGGCCGGAGAAAATAAGCCACAGCCCGTTCAGCTGTCCACCAGAAAGAGCAACAAGCCGCAGGATAACCACGGACGAAAGAAACCTGGATTAAAATTATGTGGGTGGCCAGGCCAGGGCACTCCTGTTCAGGTCTCTAGGAGGACATACTTTGCGGTACAGAGTGGTGAGCACCGAGCTGATTCTCGCAAAGCTCCATTCTCTCTGCAGACTGATGGCATCAGAAACTGTGTTCAGAGAAGACGGGGGGGTGGGGGGTGGGGGGAGAGGGAGTTATTTTCACAGGACAGTGCAAGAAGAACAAACGTGGCGGTGCTTCCCTTGCGTCACAAAATAGGTCACTCAGTTATTTCTAGCAGCTCCCCAAGCCACAACCCCAGTTCCTGCCTGGCCCGGCCGCTCGCTCGCTGGCGGGCCCGGAGCCGCAGAGAAGGCGCCCCCGTGCCCACACTCTACACGCACGGAGGGCGCCGGGGCGAAAAGCCACATTCACTGCATGGCGCAGCAGAGTGAGGCTCAGGAGTCAGGCGCGCGGGGCCCCCAAATTCCACCATCCTGTGGGGGGAAGTGGGCCCCCCTGGCTGTTCAGAGCCAGCCGCCCCACCTGCACAGTCCTGCTAGCCACTGCTAGCGAAAGAGCAGCTTCCGCCAGTCCGTGCACAGGTGCATTCAGCCGAAATGCATCCACAAGCGTCCCAAGGCACCGCGAGAGACGGAGGAGGGCGGCTGGGCACCTCCAGACCCGCAGCTATCAGCCGGCCATCTTTTTCCGGCTCCTTCGCAGCCTGGCCTTTCCCCCGCTGTTCAGGCCTCAGGCTGGGAACGCAGGATGGTCGCTCCCCCGGGCTCCCCAGACGGCCCTGCGCCCTCCCAGCCACCAGCCCTGCGCTGGTTTCTGGGCTTCCGCACAACTTTCCCCCACTCCTCACAGGCCGAGCTGCCTCGCCGACGCTTCTTGGCCCGCACAAGGAGCTTGGGGCTAGTGTGGGCGGATCCTTTTGGCCCTGTCCTCGCCGCACCCCGGAACGCCGGCCTGGCGAGCGGAATGCGGCTCAATCCCAGTGGAGATGCGGAGGCTGCGCCAAGGACGGGGTCAAAGCAGGGGCCTCTCTGGCCGCCGCTGCTCCATGCACTCCGGGGAGAAGCCAGAGCCCCCCCACGGGCCCCACTGAGCCCCCTGCAGCCTGGGAAGCGCCCCAGCTGGCACCACAGAGTCGCCCCTCACCACCGGAGTCCCACCTTTCAACTGGGGGTCGTAGGTCAGAACCTGGGTCAAGGTGTGGCTGAGGAACGGCTTCAGAGCGTCGGGAGGAACTGTGCTATGGGCGGCCATCGAACCGAACACGCAGAGCCTGCAGGGTGGGTAAGCACGCAGGAACGGTGACTCGCCTCACGAATCGCCGCCCATGGCTCCTATTTTCTTACCAAATTGGCATGAGCGGGAAAGCTGCCCGAATGCATGCAGATGTTTGCCATTTACCGCAGCTACATTTCTGGGGGAGAAAGCACGTTGAGATTTCGTTGTTGAAGGCAAGGAATTGGGCTAAAGCAAAGAGCCCGGCTGAGAAATGCAGCTGAGAGAGAGAGAGAGCAGACACCCGGGAAGAGGTCTGAATGTATCCTCCTGCCCAAACCAGACAGGCCGGGGATGGCAGGAGGCGGCTCAAGGGTTAAAGAAAATCGAACAGCCATAATGGCTGTAAAGCTCCGCTAGGGTCAAAAATAGAAGGCCCAGGGTTCGCATCCAAAGGCCGCTCCAGTGGAAGAGCAGCCGGGAAGATCAAGCTGTGTTCCATTAAGACCACTTAACCGTGCATTTAAGACGACGTTTGTGCCAGCCAGGATTCCTGCCCTGTAAATCAACGCTGAATAGCGCTGTTCGTTCGCCAATAAACAGCGAATTTAAGCCATTTGAATGAATCCGAAAAAGTGCTTTTTGAGCACTCCCAGAGTTTCACGCGATGTTCTTCGCAGCCGTGAGTAAGCATCTGGCCGGGGCTGCGAGAGTCCATGTGGCACAGCACTGGAATCGGAAGGGCCGGGATCGGGTCCCCTCTTGGCCAAGAAGCTCGTGGGGTGACTTTGGGCCAGTCCCTCGCTCTCAGCCCAGCCAACCTCACAGGGCTGTTGTCCAGATTAAACGGATGAAATGCGGAGGAAGGTTCTCTGGCTGTTTGGGGTTTGTTGCAAGGAAAAGGTAAGATGTAAACACGATAAGTAAGAACGTAAAAGTGTACTATTGGTGTAATTTGGGATCCGCAGATCTGCTGCTGGAGGCCGAATTTCTACCCTTAAGGACATGCCGGACCAATACCACCAGTGGCGTGCCTCTGTCTTCGGGGTAAGAAGGAAGCAGCGGCGGCACACACTGCCCCTTTATCCAGGGCTGCCGAACCCCTTTCGGCACGCGGGCCAAATGCAATTGCAGGAGATCTCCAGGGGCGAGCGGGGGGGGGGGGGCGCGTCGGTTTAGCTTATGGCTCCTCCTGCCCGAAAGCGAGAGACGCCGGAGGTGTTTCAGCCTCTTTGTGGGTGGGGAAGTGCACAAAATCCAGGAAACAACCAAGTGACAAGAGGGAAGGGGGTGCAGCCGGGAAGGCAGCACGGTCCCCCGGAGAACCACTGCTCTGTCTCTGGCCCTCTTGCACCCGTGCGTGAAAGAAACCGCTTGGATAGCCAAGGGATGCTCCCCTTGTTGCCACACAGGCCTCCGAATTACACGTAGCCAGCCACCTACGCGGAACCTCTGCAGTGGAGCGGATTCTTACCAGCATTTCACCGCCTTCAGTGTGGCAGCATCTTCCCGCTTCTCCTCCACCGCAGCATCAAGCACCCCTGGGGAGACCGGAAAACAGAGCACCTTCAGCGGGCAAAGGAAGCCAGAACGGCACCCAAGCATGGAAGGAGCCAGCTGAGACACGCGACGTGACCAGAAGGCACGCCACTTCCCCAGCCCGGAGCTCTCCCGATGACGTCAGCAGCACCGTCCAGCCAGCCCGCCAGCCAGCCCCCCAGGGAAAAATAAAAGTTCCTGCAACACCAACCCTCCGATGAACACTTTCTTAAGAGGCAGAGGACAGGAAACAATTAACCCCGATCTTGAGCCACTTTTAGAACGTCTGGCATCTGCAGTTCTAGCTTTGAAGGCCTGCCCTAATATTGGCATTCCAGAAGGAATTGGGGCACAATCCACTGGGAGGTTTCCTTGGCAAGCGCCACTGAAAAGGAGGGAGCAGCCAACGCCGTGGGTTCTGCAGCAGCTGTTCCTACACAAATCAGGGATATGTGCACTGCAAATATTTTCAGAAAGCTTCAGAAATTTGTCTATAGAGTTATCTAATTCAGCACGCTCGTTTTATTTGTATTTAGTAAAAAAAAAAGCTAAAAGTATCCTGTTAATTTTTCATTGCTATACACTGCAGGCATTTCACCCGACACATTCGAGGAAAATGAGAGTGCAGCTGCTGAATGAGTTGCCAAAGCACAACCACCTGCGATTTTCCACAGGGCGGTTTATTTTTCCCAACAAGCCACCTGGACAGCACATGACTTATTCCAGGGGCTTTCTGCACTCCGAAGGGCTGCTGGGGCCACCTTCCCGGGCACACCTCCGTTTCGCCCGGTGTTGCCAGGGGCTGCAGCTCCACCAATGCCAGACATCACGCTGGAGTAGCCAACCCTGGTGCACTGCCCTTTCTTTTAAAAAATTGTCCCCGAACATTATCATTTTGCTATTTCTACTTCTGTTGGTCTTTTGCAAGTATACAGAATTAGCAGGATTAGCCTACTCTGCTTCTACTCCCTTTGACCATTGAAGCACAGGAGGACGTTGCTCAGACGAGGCCACACATTTTGGCCCAGTGTAATGGGGTACATGCACACACCGTGACCTCACTGCACTTTCCAGAGCCACCAAAAAGCATAAAAGCCAGGGAATGAGGAGGGGAATATCAGAGGAAGAAGAGGGCCGAGATGAGGGCAGAGGAAGTTCTGCTGCAAAGGCCCCGGGATGTGAACCAGAGACCGGAGGAGCACTGGGAGGGGAGCAGGGAGGCAGCCCATGGCAAGCCCAGGCGTCTGTCAGGACTACCTTGGGCTGTTCAGGGAGAAACCACACTGCGCAATTTATTCCAGGAGTGGCTCGGCTCTGCACACAAACCCAACCCAGTGCCATTTAAGTACAAGGTAGACAAGTTTACTGGAATATAACAGCAACAGGAACCTCTTTCCTTACAGTTGCTTACTTTTTCCTGGAATGTAAAGATACTGAAAACATGCCACCCTCATCCATTTTAGCCACCCAAAGAACTGCGCACCACCTGCTGGCTTGCCCATGATCCACAGCTGCGAAGCTGCAAAGCTGCCCAAGATCCCGTTTACAGTCGGCACCCACTCGAATAAACTTAGGAATAAACTTCGGAAAAAGAACGGTGTCCGTGGGTGAATAAAGCTTAGCAAAGTTTTACGCCCCAGTCTCTGATGGTGGGCCAGAAGAAACCCGTGATGGCAAGACCCACCTGGCCACCGCAACACCGTCGCGAGAGACGGCTCAACCGGAGGGTGGCAAAATTAGCCAGTGGCGGGGGAGGCGGGGGGCACGTTTAGCTGCGCTCCTCCCGTTCAGAGAGGTGTGTATTTTCCTTTCATTGGCTCCCGGTGATGGCAGATTAAAAACCCAGTAACACCTCCTTTAAGGCACCCGGTCACTACAGAATACAGACCAAGCCAGTTCGGGTTTTATACTACAGCTCTGCCGTTAACGGTCCCCACCCCGACACACGCAGCAGCAGCAGCAGCAGCCGAACCCTAATCACAGCCCTCGCACGCGGCGGCACGTCACGAACGCCCCGCGAAGGAGCGCAGCGGCTCTGCTGGAGCGCAGCTATGCTCCAGACCCACGCGATTTGCTCCCGCAGCCCCACTTACACGCCAGCATCCTCTCGAGCACGGCACGGCAGATCTGCAAGAACAGCACATGCAAAATACAGTAATTAGTTTTCCAGCACATCTGTCTGAGCAACTGAAATCCTCCTCTGCCGATTCTCCGCTCAAAAAGAAACGCATTTGCCAGTTCATTAAAATGAGGGCGAAGGGTCGTTAAATTAAAAAACGGGAAGAGAAAGCACTGATGCCGCTTGTGGAACGGGAGGAGGAGGGGAAAGTCACACAGGATGCGAGTAGGAAACCCTTGAAGAACACGGGGCCAAGCAAGGCTTTCTCTCTTCTCCATTTTATCCCCACAACAACCCTGCAAGGCGGGCTAGGCTGCAAGTCAGTGACTGGCCCAAAGCCACCCGGGGAGCTTCAGGCCTGGCACCGGAGCCTCCCCAGTCCTGGTCCAGCACCAGAGGACGCCCACACAGACAGAGGCAGCCGCCTCCAGGAGGATGGGCGGCACAGGCAGGGTCCCTCCCCGCCGCCCCTCCAGAGACCCTCCAAGCGGCCTCTGGCATGCAAGCGGGCTCGCTGGGCGAGGTGCTGCTCCGAGCCGGTTCATGCGCTTCGACAGCGGTCCGTTCAGTGCCTTCTCGATCAAGCACCCGCCTGGCACACTGTCAGCTGCCCCGGGTGCCGCTGCCTTGGAGGAAGGGAGCCCCCCAGCATCGCCTGGGGACGAGTGGGAGCAGCGACCCCGCGAGGTCAGCGGTGCCCCCGGCAGGCCTCCAGCGCGCCCTCCCTGCTCTCTGACCACACGGGGCGGAGCCCGTGTCTGGCTGCGCAGGCTCCGGCCTGCCTCACGTATGCCGACACTGCGACACCCGGGGTGTCGCTAGGAGCCACTGCAGGGGCCGTGCCAGACCGCTCTTACCTCAGCCGTCTTCTCCAGCTCCTGCTTCTTCCCCGGCTCGAGCCTGTTCTGAAATCCGTGCCGAAGCAGCACGGCCAGACTGTCTACAAATTAAGAACAAAGCTCCCATCAGAACCCCCTGGATCACGCTGTGCGCCGGTTCGCCCAGCCTGACTGGGGATTCAGCCACTTCTGCAGTGCCGACTGCAAAGGCAGAAGAGCGTTGGCCGAGAAAGGCGGCTCGGGAAGCAGATGTGGCGGGCCCTGCGCTTGCCGGCCTGGGGACCGGCCGCATCAGGGAGCCGCTGCACACGGCTTCCAACAAGGGAGGAACTCGAGGCCTGCAGGAGGCAGGCAACCTTACGACTCTGCGGTTCCGGTCTCCACAGAAGCCGACACCTGCCGGGGCCCACAAAACGCACTGCTTTTGGTCAGAGCTTGCCTTGAAGCAGCCTGCAGCCCAGGGGCTCCGCATCCGGGGGGGGCTCCGCGTCCGGGGGGGGCTCCGCGTCCAGGGAGGGCTTCTCTGCCTGGTGGCACACGAGACGAAGGCTGCTGCACAGCCAGTCCACTAACGCGGACACGTCTGAGGCGCTGGGAGGAAAGAGCAGCATCGTCCACTCATTCCCCAACATTTCGCAAGGCATCTATCTGCCCCGAGAAAGGACCCCGCGGAGTTTGGCACTGCTTGTCCTCGGCCTGGTAGTGAAACCCGAGGCAATGGGGGCACAGCCCACAACAAGAGCAGACCGTGGAGGGAACCGGACCGTCGCTGCCAGGAGAGCCCTCCCCAACCCGGTGCCCCGGTGTGCTGGGCTGCAGCGGCCTTCATGCAGCCGGCGGCCGGGCACGACCTGGACTGCACCGGGTTCGGGAACTCCGGCGGATCGCTGGGTGGGCGGATTCCGTCCTGTCTGGCCCTGCTGCTGAGACACCCCGGCTGCCTGCAGCTGCCCCCGTAACTCCTCCTCAGGTTCCAGGAGCGGCACCTGCAGCTGCCCAGGATCGTGGCCACCGCCGCGTGGCACAGCACTCGTGTGCTTGTCAAGGCCTCTCTGCTTTGCAAGTGGAAACAGTCTTGTCGCAGACGGTGGCCAAAATGCCGACACGTCTCAGGCCGAGGCAGAAGCTGGAACCCTTGGCTTACCTCTCCAGCAGCTCCTCCAAGCCGACGATGCCCTCTCTATGCAGCCGCCACACGACTTCCAGAATGAGCGGGCTCTGCGGGAAGGAAAGCCGAAGTAAGACGGCAGGACCGGCAGGAGGCACGGCCTGGGCAAAAGCCGAAAGACGCCGCCGCGGGCCACAGAGCCTGGGACAACGCAGGCACTTGCATCCTGCAGGGGGCGCATGCCGTGCCCCAGGGCAGTCTCAGCCAGCCAGCCAGCCAGCCAGCGCAAAGAGCCCCCCAAGCGGAGGGGCACGGCCTGCGTGCCACGTGGCACTGGCGGCACTGAGGGACTGCCCACCATCTTAGATTGTCTGAACGGATCGCCTGTCTTTCTCCGCGACTGTTCCGCAGCCGGCCAAAGCAGCTTGCAATAGAGGTGCGGAAAAAAGCAGCGCTGCAAAATATAAAAACGGCCTTAGGAAGGCAAAAAGAGTTATAAAAATAACCAGGTCTCAGAGTTTTCTTCTTGTTGTTCATTTAAAATTAAAGATACACGTGTTTCCATGCTGTCTATTTACACAAAGCATAAAAACTGTTTATATTCAAACAACTAATGAACAAATGTAAACCAACCAGGGAGCTTTGGCATGGAAAACAGAAACAATTTAAAAGCCAAAATAAAGGAAGAATGCGGACATTTAAAAGGGTGGCGCGGCCTCCTTTCCGAATACGGAAAGCCTTGTCGCAAAACGAGGAAGGCCCTTTCCACGCGCCCAAAGTGTGGCATCTTCCAAGGGCTTCTCTGGCTGCTCTTGCTGAGTAGGCCGGCAGCCAGGCGGGCGGTCCCGCAGAGGTCGCCCAGTCCCAAAAGATTCACAGGTCTTCACTTAAGGGGTTGTCACGTATTTCCACTTAAAGACATTTTCAGACTTTACAAGAAGAATCCAGCATTTCTCTGCAACAGTTTAATCTGCTTCCTGTACCCGGCCAAGCCCAACAAATGTTCTGTTGAGACTCTTTCTGGGCCCCAACCTGAATTCCAAGGCACACTGTATTCCACCGTACCGCTTCTTTGTTATTAATCAGAAGGAAGCGTGTTTAAGTAAGCTTTCTTGTAGACCTCACCCTCTTACCTGCATTTTCCATATTTCTTGAGCAAACAGCAAACGGCAGAAAGCATTGCGTGTTAATAGATCTTTCAAGGTCTGGAGTAAGCAGGACAGCTTGTTCTGCAATTGAAGCACCCCCCCCCCAAAAAAAAGCTGTGACTTGATTCAATATAGTCAGCCAGTGGTCTGCCTTCTAAAGAATCTGTCGCTGAATTCTTTAGATCTGTACAAAACTGCAATGAAGGTCCTTTTGGGAAGACCCAGAAGGAATAATTTCATTAAAAAGTTGTGGTATTTTTAGGCTGGGCTAGGCCCTCATGAGGCAAGCCTGCATTACGAAAAGAAAGCTGCCACACGGTTAGGACGTGACGGATCCGGTCGCTCTTTCCATCACATCCAGCACACCCGCTTAGTGCAAAACAGGAGCGGCCAGCATGTGCTTCTTATCATTAATTCTGCTTCTATGCCAGCCGGTCACTAAAGGCCTCTGGGTGGCTCAGCATCAGCAGGCCACAGAAACAACCCACAGCCTCCTCTAGAGTAAACAGAGGGCAGACAAAGCAGTTGTCACAGCCAGGTCACAGGGGAAACGACTGGCGTGCCCCAGAGCCCAAATCCTGTTGGTGGACCCTCCCTCTGAGCTGTGCCTCGTTGTCACCGAAGGCTCGTTTAGAGGAAAAGTTGTGCACAGCACACTTTTCTCCCAGTCTTGCCACACAGAAAGACAACAGCTTTTCCCTTACTCTCTGCTCAGCATTTAGCAGTGCAACTTGTCCCGAGTCCGCAGAGATCTTCTCAAGGTTGCTGGCAGCAGTTTTGGCTGCTAAGATTCCTATAGGCATGCCCAGCAAGGAGGCCTGGTCCCGCAAGGCCGACACTAGAACAGGAGAGAGAGGAACATGCAAAATAAAGTGGGTTGTGAGTGCAGGATGGAGGCAAGGGGGCCGGCTGCTTGTCCTTCCTTGATCCACTGTGGTAAAAACACAGCCCAGAATTTCATCCAGAAGGAGCAAGTCAAGGACATGTCTAGCTGGTGGAACTCCCCTGGTTCAATTCCTAGTGTCTCCAGCGAGAGTTCCAAGGACAGAGTTGTCTGCAATGGGTTGCAGACAATGCCATCTAATTAATTCCCATTCATTCCAGCTGTTCTACTCTAAGTAGAACCTGCACTGGATACAACACAGAGGAAGCATCATTGCTGCAAAACTCTGGGGAACAGCTGCTGCTGCAGTCATTCCAGCCAGCCCATCTTTATCCATGCCAGTCTCTTGCTCAATAAGCCAATGCAATTTCAGCCACTGACTGTAGCAAACAAGGTTTCTTTTCACCCACCCACAAGCAGTTCTGGCCCTGAAGCTTCGCTGCCAAGCGTGCCTGAATTACTGTAACTTTCTGGTTCACATCGCGAACTCCCCACCTGTGGAAAACAGAAAAAGATGATAATCTGGTGTTTGCAACACATGCAGCAAGCGGCTGGTCAGCCTGGCCCAGAAGCGACGTTTCGACAAGCCTGAGAACGCTGGGCGTGACCGGCACCGCGAACCGTTAGCTGCCTGGGCAAATCAGGATACTTTCTTTTTCATTCGAGTATCTCTTCAACTTCACAGGGAAAGATGATGTACAAGGAAGGTGTTACACGGGAGCAATACCTGGAAGTCTATGCATGTTTTGTTTCTCACTGTGCTCCTAACCTCAGGCAGCCCAGCCAACAACCAAGCTACATGGCGATGACTGGAATCAATAGTCCAACACATCAGCAGGTGCCTGACTGGGGAAGGCCACGCTACACATGTGAGCGCACACAGCTCAAAAGTTCTCTGGCTATTAAAGAAAATGTAATAGACAGTAGAACTGAAATACTGTAGAACTGAGCTGAAATTGAAAATAAAGGCAGAAATCCGAACACAGCCCATTGGATTAATGTAACTTACTTCTGAGTAAGCAGACTTTGGATTGTACTCTCAAGCGCTCCCTATCAAAATAGGATCCTCTTTCTAACAGAAATATTCTATAGGCAGTATCTAACATTAGTCTGGTTTGTCCCATTAATTTCAGTGGGTCTACTCTGACTAGAAGCAACAATGAATACTGCCCGACATATTTATCTTTAGTAATATAAGACCACAGTTTAAACCCGAAATGCAAACTCAGCCTGCAGCTGCTACGAGGCAAAGCTGCCCCCTCACCTCCAGGAAGAGGTCACCCAGGTTCTGATGGCAACTCAGAATACGCAGAGCTGCTTCCTGCAGCTGCTGCAAATTTTTATTTTTGCATGCTTGTTTCTTGGCTCTTCCTTCTAGAAAGAAATGACACACAAATATATCAGCTTGGGAAACCAAACCGTACACTTTTACAACAATATTTGTAATTAGAGCAAGTTTGGTTATTCTTATTTCTCTGAGTACATGCTAAGAATTGCATATTCCCCATTGGACGAGCATTGCACCCCTTATAAAGAGGGCTTCTCAGCACACAGAGAGCACAGCACCTTTCCCATTGGATGAACTGGATCCTTGTAAAAAGAGCTCCTGAGAATCCGCAGAGTGCAGACTCTTTTCTATTGGGCAAGTGTCGCACCCCTTGAAAAGGGCGCCCATAAGGATACGTTAAATGCAGCTCCCTCCCCATAGCAGGAACATTACACCCCTTCTAAACAGAAGGTCTGAGCATGCACAGAGTGCAAATCTTCCCACAGAGCGAAACCCGCACCTCTTGTCAAGAGGGTCTCTGGACACGGACAGAAGAACACCCTCCATCCCTGCCAGAGATCCTCTGACCATGCACAGAATGCAGCTCGCTCCACCGAGTGAGCAGAGCGCCCCTTGCAACGAGGGCCTCTGGGGAGACCCAGGGAGGCCGCCTCGGAGGCGCCGCCTACCCAGGAGCGCGGAGAAAGCCCGGCCGCGGCCGCCGTCCGCCCGCCCCGCGGCCGCCATCGCCCCCGGCCGGAGGCCCCCGCGGAGCCCCTCCGCCTCCGGTCCGCCCGGGAACCCGCAAGCAAGCAAGCAAGCAAGCCGCGCGCCCTGCACTGCCACTGGTCGCCGGCCGAACGCCCTGCCCAATAGGAGAGCGAAGCGGCTGGGCAGGCCCCTTCCTCTTCCGGCAGCGGCGCTGCGGCCATGTTGGGAGTGGCTGCGCGGGAGGGGACGCGCAGAGGGCGGGCGGGCGCCATCTCTGTGGTGGCGAGGCGCTCCGCCGCGGCCGCGCTCGCTCGCCCGCGCCGCTCTCCTGCGCATGCGGCCCTGCAGGCGGGCGCGATGGGGCGGGCAGGGCTGGTCGCCGTCCTGGGGGGAGATCGCCTTGCGTCGCCCCGGCCAGGGCAGCCCCCGGGGGCCCTGCCCCTCGTCTGGCGCAGGGGCTCTGGCGGAGGGGCGCCCTGAGCAGGCCGAGGGACCACCGGGGAAGCGCGTCGCCAAGGGGGGAAAGGGCGGAAGGGGAACGCAGCTCGCAGCCGCACACGGTGCTTTGCAACAGCCACACTTCACACACTTTTAGAGCCACTGCGGTGCAGCAGTCGATCTAATAAAAAAACGCAGGGCTGGGCCTGAGGCCGGTTTGTTTGTTTGTTTATTTAATGCTTTTATAGACCGTCCTATTACTAGTTTCTTGGGACAGGTTTACAACAAGCACAGATAAAAATGGCACAGGATCCAGCAATTCACAATAAAATCACAATTAAAACCAACTAAACGTTACAATAATGGGAGAATAAAACGGTTTTCGCCTGGTGCTGAAAAGAAATGTTTTGGGAGGTATTCCATATGTTCTAGTCCCCACTCGGTCATGGAGCCAACTGGGTGACTTGGCCAGTCACTCTCAGACCAACCTACCCTGCAGGGCTGTTGTGAGGTGAACACCAAGAGGAGGAAGAGAATTCTAGGAGCTGCCAAGGGTGCCTTGAATGGAAAAGGCAGGATGTAAATATAAGTGAGTGAGTCAGAAGCCACTGTTTTTCCAGTTCCTTTAATCTGGTCCTCCAAAGGACAGTCCTCTGTGAAAGACTTGGCCACACTTTCTGGGGATGCCAGTCCGGAGCCTCGATCACCATCGCCTCCTGAGCGCGTGCCCTTTGCAAAGAAAGCCTCTGAGCATAGGCAAAAGTGCAACTCCTGATTTGGCGAGTGCTGCACCCTGCAATATGGCCGCTGGCTGGTGGTGCTTGTCAGCAGAGAGAGGCCTTCCGCAGCTGCATTCTGCCTATGCTCAGAGGATCAGCCATGCTCATTTGAAAGGAATGAGGAAGGAAGCTCCAGGGAGTGTTCTCGAATCCATGAGCCTGACTCATTGTGGGTGGGGGGGAGATACCACCTCACTTTTGCACATGTTGCCAAAGCAATTATGTCAAAGGTGGGAGGAGCCGATAAGGCCCGTAGATATCGGAGAAAAGCAAATACTGGTGGAGCAGGTGAGGTATATCCTGGATGGGCGGAAGAGGAACAGGCAGCGGCCTGCCTGGGAAGGCACTGTGGGAAAGCAAAGAGGACTCTTAGCCCGAGGCAGATCAGGATTCGCAGAGGGCGGCCTTGCCCATTTGGGAGACTACAACTCCCATCAGCCTCAGCCAACATGGCCACAGGGGAAGGTGGACCCAATAAACTTTTGCTTACACGGAAGCCAGAAAGGCTGGTTTATTTGCCCGTATGAGGAACCACCGGGCGCTGAGGTTGGCCGGGAGTCCGAGCCTTGCCGCCTGAAGCATCAGGAAAGCCCCAGGCCGGGAATCCTTCCTGCTGCAAAAGGGCAGGAAAGGAAAAGCACCCCTGGGAGGACAGGTTGCACCGCCTGTCTAGCTGGGATGGAGGGGTTCATCCCAGCAGTGAGCCGCAGGGTGGGCCCGGGGCCGCCTTGGCCGCTTCCAGCCCTGGTACTCCGTGGTCCTGTCCTTGCGCCTCCGGGCGTAGCTACACCCACGGTTGCAGGGGCTGCTTGGCCCTTTAAACACGGTGGGGACCAGCTGAGTGTGGTTGGCCCATGCGTGACCCCTCCCTGCCCCACCTGGAAGTCGCTGGCTCCCTTGTGATAAGGCGCACAAGCGGCAAGCGCGGCAGAGACGAGTTGGATCGGAGTGTCTTTGTGTGACAGTTTTAACGGAACCATTTTTAGGTATGTGAGCGCAAGATGAGGGTTTGTGCTGCTCCGTGTGACACCAGGTCTTCTCTGCCTTGGGATATTCTCTTTTCAAGGCAGGCCTGTGCTTCCAGCCAGACCTGGGTGATCCGCTAGTTGCCTCTGGACAGAAAACTGTTGCTGTGCGAGACTTCCAAGTTCACCTTCGTATTTCTTATCTGTTGAGTGTTTTCATGCTGTCTTTTAAGTTAGGCAGCATTTTAACCATCTGAAATCTTGCTAGGAGAGGCTAATTAGAACACCCTTTCAATAGTATGTTGGATTTTTAATATTTGCCTCGCACGTAAGATTGGTCCTGATGGGAGCGGAAACGTCTGGGGGACACCAAGTTGGAAAAGGCTGCCCTGTTCTTCTTTGAAAAGGCGACATGAGCACTTGTGCTCTTGAGCTTTAAAAAAAAAGGAATACCTCCTCAAAGCTGCAAAAGGGCAGGGATGTTTGCGTATAGGATTGTGTGCACACAGCACTGTTTGCCACTGCTCCTTTCGGCACCTCGGTGTCATGCGATCGCATTCCATGGGCACAGCAGGCCGTTGTTGCAGTAGACCAGCCTGAACACACAGCAAATGGAGCATCTGACCAATGGGCGTTCTCTCTCACTCTCACACACCTGGCCCAGGTCCGAGCCGCTGAACTGGGCAGGGTCAGCATCAGGGGTAAGCCTTCCTGGAGAGGTGGAGGGCCAAGCCAGGAGCCCCTGGACTGGCTCCCCCATCCCCATTGCGGCCTGCTTGCTCTCTGCCCCCCCCCCGCCACGGAGACCGGCGGGGAAGGCAGGTGCTCAGGCGAGCAAGGGCCAGCCTGGGGGAGGAGGAGGCAGGCGCAAGGGTGGCCGGGTGGCCACAGAGGGCCTCTCGCTGAGGGAGGAAGCCCGCTGAAGGCGGCCCTGCCACAGGCCCTGCAGCTGGCGGTGTGCGTGGGGAGTGGGGTCCTTGCCCCGGCCCAGATGCAGCTGCTGGGTCCACACGAGTTCATTTCAGTGCCCCCGAAGCTGGCAATGCCGCGCGTTGGAGCCACGCGTTCCATCTGCTCATTCAGAATCGCCACGCTTTTGGTGTGGATCCGCCACGCACACTTTCTGCTCCATCTTCCGTATTTTCAGACCTGAGCCTTGATGTTGGAAGTTCAGTGCCAAGGAGCCCTTTTCTAAAGGAAAGAAGGCAGGATCTATGACTCTAGAGCTGGCTCAAATATTAAAAAAAACAACAAAATAAATTTTGCAAGTTTTCTGAAGGTGAAGTATCTTTCCATTATCAATAGATGCATAACAGCCTGTTTCTAGGATGTGTGTGCATATTTTTATAGCTGTGCAGTAGCCTTTTTAAGTAGACTCTCTTCTGTGTTTCAGAACCAGGCCCTGGTGTTGAAATCCAGCTGCTTGCAGAAATGTCTGAGATCTCTCAATTAAGTGAATCTTTTCCTCTGAGAGAAGGTAAATTGTGCGGCTAGGGAAAGCGTTGTCGGGCAGCCAAATCAGCTCTCTGGGTGAGAGAGACCCTTCAGGTCCCTGCACGCACATAAGCCTTCTCTTTGGAATACAGAAGTCTGTGTGCATCTGTGGATCCACAACAGAACTCCTTGCATGTATCGTCACTTCCCAAATTGCTCCCTAGGCGCCCAAAAGCCTCGCGTGCTTTTGTGGACCGAAGCGCTGCCACTGGAGTTCCACTCGGGTGCCGCGCCTGAGCTGGGGGGGGACCGGCCAGTTTTTCTCGCCCGGCTGGGCTGGGTGGTGCGGCTCTTCTCCCCCCTCCTCACCGGGACGCCCCTTCCCGCTGGCCCCCTCTGCTGGTGGAGGGAGGCCTCGCCTGGGCAGGGCAGGGCCGCCACCGGGTGCCGAGCCCCTCGCGGCTCAAGGGGCAGGGCCCCCCCGCCAGGCTTTCCCGGGCCGCGTCCTTGCGGTGGGTGCGGGGAGATGCCAGCGGGGACTTTTCCTGCCTGCCCAGAGGGGCGGAAGGCAGCCCCCAGAGCGCCCCGTTGGGAAGCCTCCGCCCGGCCTGCCCCCAGCGCGGGCGCCGCAAAGGGGGCGGGCCGCCGGACCGCGGGCCAAGGGCTGCGCACCGCTCCGCCGCGTCCCCGCCTCCCGGCCGCTCCGCATAGGCTGCGCCGGGCGCGGATGACGAAGCGGCGCGGCGGCGGCGGCCAGCCCGGCTCGGCCCGGCCCGGCCCTCCCCCGC